AGCATGAAAATGGGTTCAGGCTTGCATGCATGCAAAGGCAAACTGTTTGGGTGAAATGTATTCACGGTTTTGTGAGGAGGTAAATCGAGGTTTCTGGAATGGTCCTGGGGATTGAAAACATTTGCTCTGTCTGCACCTTGATTGTGGGGCATCGGCAATACCCACCACAGAGGTAAGTGAAGGAAGAATGGAGTGGAATTTGCGGAGCTTTTCACAGTCACTCCTCTGCTTTGGTGGATAGGAACTACGTTGTGAGTCTCACACGTTGGTTCGTTGGAATAAGTTGACCTCTTGATCATACTGAAATTGTGTAAGGTTAATGAAACGTGTGAATTACCCTACCACATAACATACAAAATGAGATGCTAGTGAATAAATGAAGGTCGTGTGTCCGTGTATCCTGCACTTCTGTCTGTGTTCTACTGCGTCTCCCCGACTTGATGTCTTTCAGGGACTGAGAAGGTGCAACTATGGTGGTTGTCGAATACACGTCAGGTGGTCGTGCGTTTCATTTTGGCGTTCTGGTTGTGTGTGCGTGCGCGTGCGTGTGTTGAATAAGTTGTCTGTCATTCTTGTGATGGAGATGTTGCGAATGCGCCATGAAATTGGACGGTGCTGGGCTTGGCACCTTCACGGTGTGGCTGCCCTCATTACGAAGTGAGGTGTTAGAGGTACCTGTACGCGAAACAAAGAGGTCATCAGTGTCTGTTCTTCTGCAGTGAAGTCAGTCTATGTTCTCGCTACAGTTGTCCGACACAGGTCTATCCTGTGCCTCCCCAGTCTTGAGTAGGTTGATTGGTGTCAAAGTGTTGCGACTAAACACTCTGCCGAGATCGGGAGTCCGCAGCATTGTCTTTCCGTGTGAGGAGAGAGGAGGGGGAGGAGGGGAGACAGGATTGGTAAGACAACCAACCCCAGGTTGCATGCGCGCTCAATGACTCAACCAAGGGAATGATGTTTGCCAACTTGTAGATGGACGATTGTGGGACAAGGAAAGCTGAAAGCCCTCCAGTTGGTAGGACGTCAAATGTACGCACAGTGTGGGCGTTTCCATCTGACTAACGCTGCGTGCAAGTGAATAAACTCGCATTGTTAACTGCGCCTTTTTCACTTAAGGCCAGTCATTCCATTTGTGGCCTGAAGCCCATGCAATCAATTCACTGGAATATTCGATACGCATGTAGCATTCTTTACCAAAAACAACAATGGGATCTGTATGCTACTTGGGCTCACAAATTTTCATCCAAACTGGTGAACGGGTGTACAAAGCCACAAGTAGCTTTACCTGCCAGCATCACGTAATGCGTAACTGTCACTCCCTGATCGAGATCCAATGCATAAAATGTTTCTTCAGCCTTCTATTTAGATGCACAACTCATGAGGTGAATTGACACAAAAATCTTGTATGAGTTTCCCCACTATGCCCCAACACAGATCGCCAGCCCCACGATGGAGAGGGCTAGTCTCCTGTGCATGCGTCAAATCACTTACCCTGACCTAATTCGCTTCTTCCTGCGACATGGTGTGAAACCAAATATTTCTCGCTTACATCATCCTACAAAACTTGACAGCTAACTAGGGTGTATACACCCACCGTCCCTTAATAGTTCTTTTTGTGACATCTGTGAAGGTCGCAAATACCAGCGGGAGTGGTTTGCTATCGTCCCTTGATCTTGAGTAAACCATCGCCTTAAAATAAGCATTTACGCTTCCGACTTCTACGCAGTAGTCAAGATTATCGCTCCTACTCACCTTTTCAGAGCTCTTGCTTAACGACTAATCGCTAAACATACCAGTATAGTCGTGTTTATGCTCAGTAGAGACCGATTAGCGCATATTAGACAAAAATGTGATCCGTGCGCATTGACAACCGTTCGAAGGCCGAATCAAGCGTAACCGAAGTCGCGGACACGTAGGGAACCGTTTGAAAGAAGATTCGCAGATTAAATGTTACTCACGCAGAGAGAGCACACATTGATCACAAATTGGGTCCCATGAGGAAGAGATGCAATGGATTAGCGAGAATCCGAAGAAGGGAAGAGCAAAACGAAACGAAAAAAAAAGTGAAGTAGGCGTGAGAAAATAGTAGAGTGAATCAGAAGTGAAACAAGGAGGATAAGCAAAAGCGGGAGTAGGGAAGAAAAAGGTGAAATGAGTGCAATGTCAATGAGCGAGCACGCTAATATGTGGGCTTCGATATTGCAAGTCCAATGAGTGAGTGAATGTGCAAATTGTTTTGTCAATAACAAAACAAGTATGAGATAAAATGTGCCAGCGTCACTTCCTCTATGCCTCTACTAGCCTAGTGTTACCCCAATTGATACCCCAAGTGATGGGTGCATGCGTGCATTTGGGTAATATGCAGCCGGCAGTGCTCATGGCATGGTAGTTTGATAGCTCCCTGACTCAGGTTTTTCTTATAAGATTTTCACTAGTTTGATATATCGAATGTCACTACCATTCATTGTGTGCATTTTGTGCAGTTCTATTCGAAATGCTGCATGCAATAATAGCCCCTCAGCGTTGGGACTGCAAACTGATTTCCACGTTCTCGGTTACACTAGCAACCAGTCAGTTGTTCTTCTGTTCAGGTGCGTGAGTGGCTTACGTGCCTCATAATCTTAAGAAAGTGAGCCTAAAGTGAGGAAGTGCTTGTCAAAATTTTGCGTATTTGAGAGATTTCACTTTAGTCGTGCATTGTTAAAAATTGCGCTCAAATTTGACTGCTTTGAGGCTTTTCAAATTACCAAAACACTTGTAAAATTGTTGCCTTAGGCTGATCACATCAACACACAAAAAGAAATATTGTGATCATGCCAATATTTTTTACCCCACTTTGTTTTAAGCTGTTGCAGGCGGTCAATCGGTGTGGCAGTCTGACGTTGGAGGGTAGGTTCCTGTGCAGTCGCAGTGTCGTAGTGTCAATACGTTTTGTGCCTTGATTCGCAGCCTAGTTTGCTAGCTTATTTTTGTTTTTTTGAAGTATTTGCTGCAGCAGTGTTTGCTGGTTTCCTCACCCAGCCCATCAATCGGCCTCGATTATCAGATGTAAGAGTATTTACATGAGGTGGCGATGTATGTTAGGTTAATTTTCTTTGGACAGTATTGCTGGAGGGCTTAGTTGGGGTGTGGTGTTGTTGAGAGAAGGGTAGTTGTGGTATGCATGTGGACGGTGGTGCCTCGTAGAGGTGAGCCCTATTGTCTGTATAACGCACAAGGCTACGACAACAAGGTTATCGTGGAATGAAATCTGACGGAATACAAGTTGATTGGCAGTCGTGATTGTACTGCATGACACCCAGCTAGTAATATGCTGTTATGGCAAGACGCTGGATGTGCTTGTATAAGTTATGCTTGTTTTACTCTAACATCTCAGCTTTGTTACTCTTTTTAGAGGGAGATTGGACTGTAAATAAGGCAATGGCAGATCGGTAAGTTACCTGTGTGGGACAAACGCTTGGTGGTGTGTGAAAATGCAATGCAGGTCTTGCGGACCGTTAAATTGCTTGTGGTGAAGTCAAAAATGTCTTGATATGTTTGGATGGACTTGTTAGTCATCTTTGGTTTTGCGATTGCTTTGACTCGTTCATTCGTGTTGTGGAGGCGCATGCGCATACTCCTGCACGTAAGCACGCACGTACTGGTTTCGTCGACTGCCATTGAAATATACAAAGTGAGAAAGATTTGTGAGTTGGAACAGAGAGTAGGTGATGACCGACTGTCGCTCCACAGCCCCTGGAGTCATGTCTATTTGATTATTTGTTAATCTGAAAGTAGAATAATCGGAACTTGAGTAGTGAGTTGGTTGTTTAGTTTGACACCAAAGTTGTGTACCTACTGACTGCGTTTGGTGGGAAGGACCCTCTTTCCACCTATTTTTGGTGCGGGAATTGGTGTTTTGGCTAGCCTCACTGGTAGGGAGTAGCTCCGTCATTCATTGTATTTACGATAATTAGGCTGTTTTAGGGTAAGCGAATTGTGGTGATCTTGGTTTACGACCATTTTGGTAATTTTTTTAGAGCGAGAGGCCGTGGTAGAGGTGAAAATGCCCCAGGTAAGACTCCACTTGCAGAACCTTCATAAGAATCAATTAAGCATGTGGTAATGTTATTGTTGTTTGCGTTTGTACTTCCAAAATGACTTAATAAGAATGGAAGAGACAGAATGATGGGTAGAGTAATATGGAAGTCTAAATGTGTAGTTTGGTCTCGCGGTGGCAACCGAGGAGGTGGTGGCTTCC